AGCTATCAAGAAGGCAAAGGACTTCTAGTGGACCAAAGAGTTCTATCATGTGTTTGGCGAACTAAATGAGTACCTCAGCTCACCTCTGCTATTGACAAGGCCCGTGCCCGAAGACGAGCTTTATCTGTACTTATAAGCCGACAATGAAGTTGGAAGTTTGTATTGGTTCGAACAAAAGAGAAAGTGCAATGACCTATTTACTATGTAAGCAGAGCCTTACATATAGTTGAAACCAAATACTCAAATATTGAAAAACTCGCGTTCACTCTAATCATATCAGCCCGAGAGCTGTGACCTTACTTTTAGGCCTATACAATCATTGTACTCACTGGCCAACCTTTGTGATAGATCCTACAGAAACTCGAGGTATCGATAAGACTCACCAAATGGATAGTGGAACTCATTGAGTTTGATATTCAATTTGATCCGCGACCAGCTATCAAGGCTCAAGTCTTAGCCGATCTCATCACCGAATGCACTTTCAGCTCGACAACACTAGAACTGGACAAACCACCAACCAACTCAGAGGTATCCAATAGTGTGGAACCTTCATCTAACTTGAAAGAAGAACCCTGGATCCTCCACATAGATGGCTTATCTAACCAGAGAGGTATTGGAGCCAAGCTAATCTTGCTAGGACTTGATGAAGTGGAGCTTGAGCACGCCTTTAGGTTTGGATTTAAAGCATCTAATGACGAACATGAGTAAAAAGCATTGATAGACAAATGGTTTGCATAGAGGACCTATGGCACCTGGAGTCAAGCTGGATTGAGCCAAGTTGGATTGATCGCATCATGGAGTACTTGCACCGAGGCATGCTACCCACATGCCTTGAGCTGCTCGCTATGTTATTATAGGTGACCAACTATACCGGAAGTCCTTTACTCTTCCTTAACTTAGATGCCTTCATCTTACTAAGGCAGAGTATATGCTAAGGGATTTACGATGAACGCTTGGGGGGTAGGTCGCTAGCTAGAAAGTGCTTCGATAAGGGTACTATTGTCTCATAATGAAGGAAGATGCCATCCGATTAGCCTAGCAATGTGACCGATGTTAGTGCCACGCTACATACCTTATCAACCCACTAGTGACTTGCAATACCTCACAATCTCTTGGCCATTCGCTTAGTGGGGAATTGATATTTTCAATCCTTTTCTACTAGCCATAGGTCAATGAAGATTTCTATTGGTAGCTATTGATTACTTCCCCAAGTGGGTAGAAGCCGAACCAATCGCCACCATCACATTCAGAACTGTTGAGAATGGTTAGACAAAGGTGTTTTTGGTCTTTTTTCTCATTTCTTATACTCTCTCAGTATTTGGGTACCCAGATAGGGGCATTCTTGTAATTATTATTTTTTCAATTATAAAGTGAACTTTTGAGGGTCAGTGAACAACACACACCTCTCGACACATTGCTTTCTTCTTCTATTATCTTCTTTCTTTCTCTCTCTTTAAGCCCTAGCTTCTACAACTTGGTATTAGAGCAGGTATAAGCATTTGGGAGTTAGTTTTTTGTTGATCTCCTACCCAGAGGCGAATTGCTGACGTCAGACCATTGTCGGATGACGTTAGCAGTTCATACAGGTGTTGGTGACAATCTATGAAGCCAATACAGTTTGATTCACCCTAATTTTAGAAAAATTTTGCTGTGACTCTTGCCATTATATGAAGCTTCAATGATTTTTGGTGGATTTTTCCAAGGAAAAAATCATAGAAATTCTAGATCTAATGTCAAGCCATGTACAATAGGTTTAGTAAATTTTTTATACTATAATACCTAGACCAATCAGGTCATTTTTTAATTTGGGATTGACGGGAAGTGGTCCTGTAATTTTTTGAGCACTATGTGATTTTTGGGAGATTTTTTTCCCTCTATTTTGCTACCAACCTAGTTTTTTGGGTCTTCCTTGGTTCTTAACTGTGGGGTAACCTTGTTTTTGGGTTTGGAACCTTGGTTAAAGTGTTGGGGGTCCTTTTGGTTGGTGAAAAGGTGTCTTGTAAAAATATGGAATCATCTAAGAATTTTTAGATGGTTCCCAGCGTGCTCTTGGTATAATAACTATTGTTAAACTGGATGGAACTAATTTTTTAGAGTGGTCTCAATCTGCTAAACTTACCATTACTAGGAAGTGTAAATTGGGATTCATCACAGGAAGGGAAGTGAAGGCGAGTCCTGAAGACCCGAAATTTGCAAGGTGGGAACAAGACAACTCCCTTGTTATGTCATGGCTGATTTGCTCAATGCAACATCATTTTGCTCGAAATTACATGTTTCTTCCATATGCTAAGGATATCTGGGATAGGGTACTTGTTACTTGTTCCCAAGTTAACAATATTAGTAGAGTATAGCAGCTTCTGAGGGAATCTTGCAATATGCATCAGGGGGAGAGATATGTTGCTATGTATTTCTCTTCTCTATAGTTTATTTGGGAAGAAATGGATCACTTGAAAGCTCTAGTTTGTAAGGACCCWGAAATGGATCACTTTGATAGTTTGTCTAGCTTAAACCTAGAGTTTGATTTCACCAAGCAACACATTCTTATTACAAGCGTTATTTCTCTTGCTACTACTTATTCTCTTGTACAAGAGGAAGAAAGATAAAGAACCACAATGATACAATCCTCTGTGAGTGATCATTCTTCCTTTATGTCATCTCGACCCAATCAAAATACTAGCAAACATCCCATTGCAAAGAAGGTCAAGGATGTTATTTGTGAGTACTGCAAGAAGCCAAGACACACTAAAGAAAGGTGCTAGAAACTCAATCCTAATCTAAAACTGGAGAAGTACAAAACCGGGAAGAAGGGCAATGCTCACTTGGCTATAGTTGGTAATGATGCTCAACCCTTGGATGTGYTTGACTCCTTTGATGTGATGGACAAAGTTAGGAATATATTGTTGCAGCTAGAGAATGGTGGTACATCCTCCTCATCTAGTTCTGAACTCAGTAATCTATCTAGTTCATATGCCCATGGATTGTAGACTCTAGGGTCAGTGCCCATATGATTGGTATGCATTCACATTTTATCTCATATAAGTTAACCCTGGGGAAGGGCAAGATTACTGTTGCTAATGGATCTCAGACCCCAATCTCGGATCAGGGTGAAGTCAAAATCACTAATAACCTTTCTCTTGACTCTGTACTACATGTGCCCTAGCTAAAAAAAATTTATTGTTTGTTAGTTCTCTAACAAAATCCCATAATTGCTCAATGACCTTCTTTCCCACACATTATGTTTTTCAGGATTGGAGCACAGGGTAGACGATTGGAAGTGATCATGAAGTGGATGAAGTCTACTTCCTGGATGGACCTTCAGATCATGGATTATTGAGCTAGACTGAGTCTTGTTCCAATGAGAAAATGAGTCTTTTGAAATTATGGCATTGCCGCCTTGGTCATATGTCTGTCAATTCTATCAAGTTTTTGTTTCCAAACTTGTTTGATTCTATGTTTAAATTGAATTTTGAATGTGAAGTTTGTCATTTATCCAAACAATGTAGAAACACATATTCTACAAGTAGTAAAAGAAGTAACGTTGCTTTCCGTTTGATYCATACTGATGTTTGGGGCCCATATGCTGTCCCCTGTATGGGGGGGATAGATATTTCATTCTCTTCGTTGATGACTACAGTTGGTATACATGGCTGTACTTGACGAAAAGTAGAGATGAAGTTCCTATGATTGTTCAAAACTTCATGAATATGGTCGAGGCACAATTTGAGAAAAGAGTTAGATAATAAGATTTAACAATGCCAAGGAATACTTTGAACATCACTTGCATAGATTTCTTGAAGACAGRGGCACTATTCACCAAAGTTCATGTAATCATATTCTACAACAAAATGAGGTGGCTGAAAGAAAAAATAGGCATGTGGTTGAAGTTGCTCGAGGCTTATTGTTTCAAACTCTTGTTCCAACTCRTTTATGGGGTGATGCTATTGAGACAACTGTATATCTCATTAACAGACTCTCATCAAGGGTCCTTAACCTTCATTTTCCTCTCCAACTACTTTTCCCTGATGAACCTCCTTTTAATCTACCCTTAAGATATTTGGTTGTATTTGTTTTGTTCATGATATGAGTCTTTACTGATATAAGTTTGATCCTAATCATTAAGTGTGTATTCCTTGGCTATTCTCTAGTTTAGAAAGGTTATAAATGCTTTGATGCTCTCTCTAGAAAGAGATATGTCTCTAAGGATGTTACCTTTTTGAATCATCTTCTTTTTTCTAGTCATCCCATCCTTCTCTTTAGGGGGAATGAAAGTGAAGACCGAACTCCCTTCTGCCTTCCTATTCTTACCTCTATTCCTCAATCTCTTCCTCCCTTATTCCTCCTCCTCCTCATCTTCCTGTRTATCAACTCCGGTTCTAGCAGCAAATTTTCATCAGGCGTAGTAAGAGAGTGGCTCCTGAAGCAGAATGCCCATTACAATTTTATTCCCCAGAATCAGGTAATCTTGTGACTCCTAACAATCCTATTATTGATTTTGACCTTGATCTTCCTATTGCCATTCGAAAAGGGAAGAGGACATGTAGCAAGTATCCTATCACTAACTATGTGTCATGATGCTCTCTCACCTTCCTATTGTACCTATATTTCTATTATCTCATATGTTTCCATCTCTTATAGTGTTATAGAGGCAATGCAGTGCCYCCATTGGAAGGAAGATATGGACCAAGAAATGGAGGCCCTAATTAAGAACCAGACTTGGAAAGTTGTTCATTGCCCTAAAGATAAGATTCCTGTTGGGTGTAAGTGGGTTTATTTTGTTAAGCACAAGGAAGATGGCTCAATTGAAAGATACAAAGCTCAGCTTGTAGCCAAAGGATAAACTCAGACTTATGGCATTAATTATTTGGAAGCCTTTTCTCTAGTTTCTAAAATGAACTCTGTTCGTGTGATCATGTCTCTTGCCACTCATTACTCGTAGCCTTTTATATCAAATGCATATAAAGAATGCCTTCCTTAATGGGGACTTACAAGAGGAAGTGTATATGGACTTACCACCTGGGGTAAGTTCCCTAACAGTGATGGGAATGTGTGCCGCTTGAAGAAGTCTTTGTATGGGCTAAAATGGTCTCCAAGAGCATGGTTTGACAGGTTTAAGAATTTCATTTTAAAGGTTGGTTTTTCTCAATCTCAGGATGACCATACCTTATTTATTAGAAGAGTTGATGGTAGAGTAACAATGTTGATAGTATATGTTGATGACATTGTTGTGACAAGTGATGATATCACAGGTATCTCTCAGTTAAAGTCATTCATTGCTTCTGAATTTGAGATCAAGGACTTTGGTGATCTCCGATACTTTCTTGGCATTGAAATTGCAAGATCCAAGAAGGGGATTTTTCTATCACAAAAAAAATATGTACTTGATTTGCTTCATGGGGTTGGGAAATTAGGGTGTAAGTCTGTAGAAACTCCAATTGATCCCAACCACAAGTTGAACTCTACTGAAGGAGAAGTTCTTCCAGATTGGGGGGTACATCAGAGATTGGTGGGATACCTTCTATATCTTTGTTTGACTAGACCTGAAATTTCCTATGGTGTTGGAGTGGTTAGCTAATATATGCATGAACCCAAGATATCTCATATGCTGCCAGTTAATAAAATTTYAGACTTCYYGAAAGGATGCCCTAGCAAAGGGATGTATTCCAACAACGAAGATCTAAAGATTGAGGCTTATACAAATGCTGATTGGGTAGGGTCCATCAATGATAGAAGATCTACATCTGATTATTGTGCCTCAGTTGGAGGCAATGTGGTTTCTTGGAGAAATGAGAAACAATCAATGGTTGCTCGTTCTAGTGCTGAGGCAGAGTACAAGGCAATAACTCATGGAGTGTTTGAACTACTCTACTTGAAGACCTTATTGACTGAGATGGGCATCCAAGCAGATGTTCCAGTGAGACTATATTGTGACAATCAAGCAGCTATAAATATTGCTCACAATCCTGTCCAACATGATCGTACAAAGCATATTGAGGTGGATAGACACTTTATTAGAGAAAGAATTGCTAGCGGAGAGATTTGCCTTCCTTTTGTAAGGTCAGAAGAGCAATTAGCTGATTGCCTCACTAAAGGTGTTCACCATCCAAAGTTTGCTAAGAACCTTGCCAAGCTGGGCATGATTGACA